TCTAAAACTAGTCACCAGCAAACTGGGAAGACTGAGAGGTTGCACTTACTAAGTACCCTCCAGGTCAATATTCTTTAACTTTAGTAAAATGGATCTGAGATTTCAGTAATATTTACCATAAAGTACTCGTTTTTCCTCAATTTAAGTCTGGTTCCCTATAAAACTAATTCATTAGGAAGTAAAAACACATAATAATATAATAATCACTGAATTATGAGAAAACTAGACACACATTAGATACTTAATACATCTATAAAATGCATAACAATGAGATAAATTTTAGCATTATATTGAGAAAGTAATGCTTTATAAACAGGAAGGGTTTATATCAGGAATATACAGATGGTTCAATATTAGAGTATATATTGTCGTAGTGTTTTGAAGGGCTTAGTGAGAAAACTCATAGTGATCTTTTTAGACTTAAAGAAATTATTTGATAAATCTCAATATTTATACTCATTTAAAAAGGTTCTTAATATTTCAGTTTCATCTTTCATGTGGATATGTAATATACACACATTATTGCAACACACAGGACATGACAGTGCCATGTATACAAACTGCATACAAATTGTATACATGACACTGTCAAGTGGTTGCAATAATGTGTGTGTATTACATATCCAATGGTCAATATTACATACAGAAAAGTCCACTTTTACCTACCATTACTATTTTTTATTATTATGTATTGATCAATATGACCAGAAAACTTTTAAAGGAAATAAAAATATTCTAAAATAAATGATACAATGTTGAATGTATGATTATTTACAGATGGCATAATTGTCCACCTAGTAAAACTAACTACTAGAATTAGTAGAAAATTCATGAAGAGTAACCATTCAAATGTAGCATTTTAAAGAAGTAGTTTCTTATAAATCTATCACTTAGACACTAAGGTGAAAGAAAATCCTATTTACAATAACAATATGAACATAAAATTATTAGACGTATTCTTAGCCCACATGCAAAAATGGAAAGAATTATGAAAATCTTCTAACAGTCATACTCTTTAATAAGATGAAGGACAAAGCATGTTCTTTAATGCTAAGACTCAAAAGTACTAAACATCAATTTCCCCCCCAAATTAATCTGTATATTTACACAATAGCAAACAAAATTCTAGCTGGTCTAAGACTAAGTTGTGAGAACATCGTTTCTAAAAACCACTGATAATAGCCAATATTGAGGATGGTGAAGGCAAACATATATAAAGCATGCACTTTCTTTAGGTCCATTTAACAATATATAACAAAAGTATTACTAACATGCTAAGCAATTTATACCTCTAAGTCTGAGTTCTCCAAAGAAAGAGAATCAACAGTCTTAATATGTAGACAGGGTATCTCCATCTCTATCTTGGCTCATGAGATTCTGGAAACTGGCAAGGTTAAAATCTGCGGGGCAGGCCTGTCTCCTGAAAATTCTGGCAGGAGTTAATGCTGCAGGCGTGAGGCAGAATTTCTTCCCTAGGAAACCTCAGTTTATGTTCTTAAGGCCTTCAGCTAATTACATTAGATCCAACCACATTGTGGAGGGTAATGTGCTTTATTTAAAGTCAACTAATTGTAAAAGTTAAAAACATCTGCAAGATACCCTCATAATGTCACCCAGATTGAGGAAATAGTGGTAGGATAACCTAGTCAAACCGATACCTAAAACTGGCCACCCACATCCTTTGACTCAGAAATTTTACTCTCAGTAATTTATTAAGGAAAGATCTAATCTAAGAATGTTCACCTCAGTGGCAATACCCAAACATTGCTGCTAAATGGTTTGGGGGGACCCACCTAGAAGCACACATAAATATCTCTTTGAATCCTCTGTGCCCAAACTCCAGACACAGCCAAAAAGACACTTGACTAATGTTAATGCTGATTCTTGTGTTCATGTAAAGCTTCAAGTACTTCCAGTATTCTTTTTTTTTTTTTTATTGTTGGGGATTCATTGCGGGTACAAGATGTGTCACACACGAGACCCCACTCCCTCCCTCCTTCCCTCTCTCTATTCTTCACTTCCATGATTCTTAAGGTCAAAATCAATTTCTATCTAAGGCATAAAGTGTATTTCTTAATCATATCTGCAGTCATTTTGGGCCCACTGATTCTGTAAACCTCCTCTTTTCCTAAGTGAAATGAAGACCAGAAGGTCACAGAAATTAAAACAATGATCCTACATGTGGGAATAAGGACAATAGGTATGGAGGCCAAAATTCCCACTGGTATCTTAACCCAGTTTCCTAAAACAACAAAAAAGCGAATTGATATCTTTAAATTAAAAAAATATTAAGGTTATGCGTTTACTTGCAGAGAAGTATACAGATTCCATATTTGGTGTCAGAATTTAACTCCTTATTCTAGATTAGCAATAAGGTAGAGAAAACTAGCAAATGTCGAATTTTTAGAGACTTAACAAATTTCAAGAGAGACTTTTCATAAAGTTCAAGAATCACATTGGGACTGAAAACTTTCAGAAGGAAAATTTTATAGGCAAGCTATAAAACCTCTCACAGTCGAACGAAGATGGTGTCCTCCACCACAGTGTACAGCTGCACATCTAGGGCAAACATCTCACCGGGGGTAATGTAAATCTTACAGATTTCAGAAGGAATCGCTTACCATCCTCTCTTCAGAGCTGTACAGTTATTAATAACCTCATGGAGACAACTCTCAATTTCAAACTTTACTGCAGTTACAAAATGCAAAGATTCATTGAAATGTCTCACCATGCTGCTTTATAAAAATTTGTTCCTTATGTTTGTTCATCACTCA